TAAATTAACCACATTAGTTAATTAAAAACAAGCAAACAAACAAACCTAAATCACATTTCCTTTTTCTCAAATCATCATGGCTGTACCTTTTCCTGTGCATGTCTCATCCCTAGATCTCACTACAATGAAGCAAGAGTTGAGATTTCATGACACCTTACATTTAACCCCCCTGCCCAAAATAATCATAGGAACTGTAGTTTGCTAGGGGGTTCTGGGAACGGTAGCTGTAAGGGGCAAACTACGGTTCCCGTGATTATTGGAGAGGGATGTGTGGAATGTGTTCAGAATATGTAGTGAGAGCCAGTGGGGCATAATGGTCAGTGTGTTGAACCAGGAAGACCGGGGTTTGAATCCCCACTCAGCCATGATGCTCACTGGGTGACCTTGGGCCAGTCACCATCTCTTAGCCTAACCTACCTCACAAGGTTGTTGTGAGCATGGAATGGGGAGGAGGAGAACCAAATACAATGCTTTGAGCTCCCATGAGGTTAAAGGTGGTATAGAAATGTAGTAGTAGTAATAATAATAATAATAATAATAATAATAATAATAATAATAATACAGTGGTACCTCGGGTTAAGAACTTAATTCATTCTGGAGGTCTGTTCTTAACCTGAAACTGTTCTTAACCTGAGGTACCACTTTAGCTAATGGGGCCTCCTGCTGCTGCCACACCACCGCTGCGCAATTTCTGTTCTCATCCTGAAGCAAAGTTCTTATCCCAAGAAGGTTCTATTTCTGGGTTAGCAGAGTCTGTAACCTGAAGTGTCTGTAACCTGAGGTGCAACTGTAATAATAATAATAATAATAATAATAATAATAATAATAATAATAATATGTATGTAACCCAGGTCAGTGAAGGAAAGGGCCTATTGAACCCTTGCCCCATCCTTTAACTCTCTCCCCTTGTTCTTTTCTTTTTCTTGGCTGGACTTTTTTAAGGTTACTGGAGAAAAAAGGTAGCTGGTGAGAGGTTAGGGACTGAGGAGTATTCCACCCCATCTCCTTTCCTAATCCCTCTCAATATGAAATTCCCACCCACACCAGCTTAATGCCTTTCTGGCATGATCCACCAGCCCAGTAACCACCCCATCTCATTAGTTAGCCCCACAGAGAAGACTGCAGATTCCCGTAAAGAGAGAACAATGGTCTCTGCATGCCCTCAGCAAATCGCTTCAACAGGCTCCTGAGTTTTAGTCAAAACCGGTCTGAGCCATAAAGCCAGTGGCGGCCTTGGCGGGACTGTTTGGAAGGACATTTTTTCCCCTGTAGGGAAAGGGGAATGAAATGTCAGAGAGCAGCTGGAATAGTAGCAGGTGGGGGGGTGGGGGGCTCTTCTCATTTCTAGGAAGGCCCCAGGATTCCTCAGCTGCTTCTCTCCAAAACATAGCGGGGTTTGGTATTCTCCCTGCGTGAATTCCAGCAAATGAAAGGCAGGCTTCTCTGAGGCGCGACACTGTGAGGTGCGGACAGGGAAGAAACCGCAAATAAATTACCAGCGGGTATTGAATGCCATTCAAGACCAAGGTGGTGAAAGATTGGCTAAATGAGGCAAGCGAGGACTAAGAAGAATGCCACAACCGAGAAAGCTGCCTTATGTTGAGTCAGGCCAAGGGTCTTTGAAATCTTCTGAGGAGGCCTTTCTCTCAGTCCCCACCATCTTCACAGGCACATTTGGTGAGGACACGACGGAGGGCCTTCTTAGTGGTTGCCCCCAAATTGTGGAACTCCCTTCCATGGGAGGCTAGGCTGAACCCCTCTCTGCTCTCCCTTCCCTGGCAGGCAAATACTGTGGTACCTCGGGTTACAGACACTTCAGGTTACAGACGCTTCAGGTTACAGACTCCACTAACCCAGAAATAGTACCTCGGGTTAAGAACTTTGCTTCAGGATGAGAACAGAAATCGTGCGGCGGCAGCACAGTGGCAGCGGGAGGCCCCATTAGCTAAAGTGGTACCTCAGGTTAAGAACAGTTTCAGGTTAAGAAGGGACCTCCAGAACGAATTAAGTTCTTAACCCGAGGTACCACTGTACTCTTTTTGTTCAAGCAGGCCTTTGGCTGCTAACTCAGATGTTGTGGCAGGGTCTTTTGAGGGAGGGTACTGCTTCGAAATGGTTTCCAGTGCGACTTTGAACAATTTATTCAATTGTTTATTCAATCTACCTGGGGATGATGATGATATTTGTATCCCTCCCATCTGACTGGATTGCGCCAACCACTCTGGAATGCTCAAGAGAAATCAACAGGTGCAGCTTTTCATGACACAGGCCAGAGGTTGCCAACACCAAGCAGAGTCTTCCCTGGCACCCAAAGGATTCCCCATGCCCCACTGAACCAAGGCTTGAAATATTCATTTAGCTGGGAGTTAAGAGAACAGGTTGGGGGGGGTGCTAGGTTAGGATGCATGAGCAGTGTCCACAACACTTTGCAATGTGCCACGGGTTCAGAAAAGGTTGGCAACTCCCAGCATAGGCAGAAATGGGCATGATCACCTCCTGACACCTGCAAGTTTAACAGCTGCTGAAATTTGTTGTTGTTGTTGTTTAGTCGTTTAGTCGTGTCCGACTCTTTGTGACCCCATGGACCAGAGCACGCCAGGCACTCCTGTCTTCCACTGCCTCCCACAGTTTGGTCAAACTCATGTTCGTAGCTTCGAGAACACTGTCTAACCATCTCGTCCTCTGTTGTCCCCTTCTCCTTGTGCCCTCCATCTTTCCCAACATCAGGGTCTTTTCCAGGGAGTCTTCTCTTCTCATGAGGTGGCCAAAGTATTGGAGCCTCAGCTTCACGATCTGTCCTTCCAGTGAGCACTCAGGGCTGATTTCCTTAAGAATGGATAGGTTTGTTCTTCTTGCACTCCATGGGACTCTCAAGAGTCTCCTCCAGCACCATAATTCAAATGCATCAATTCTTCGGCGATCAGCCTTCTTTATGGTCCAGCTCTCACGTCCATACATCACTACTGGGAAAACCATAGCTTTAACTATACTGACGTTTGTTGGCGAGGTGATGCCTCTGCTTTTTAAGATGCTGTCTAGGTTTGTCATTGCTTTTCTCTCAAGAAGCTGCTGAAATAGGGCCAGGTTAAAGGGGGGAAAAAGTTTGGCAGTCCTGTTTGCTTGTTTGTCAGTAGTATTTTCATGCTGCCTTTCCAGACCAAAGTCCTCCCAAGGCAGATTATGTACAAATTTAGAACATGAACTACAGATAAAGATCAATTAATTAAGATGATAAAACTAAAGCAATAGTCTAAAGCAGTGTTTCCCAACCTTTTTTGGGCAAAGGCACACTTGTTTCATGAAAAAAATCTTGAGGCACACCACCATGCCAGATGGGGAAAGGTCACTTTTTACTTATGTAAAAAAAAATAAAAAAATAGTAACAGCATAGAAGGTAATGGTTAGGCTAGCATCCCTCTTCCAAATATGCTAGGTTTTTATTTGCAGGGACTGTTCTACATGGGAAAGCATTCAGCACTGTCATTCTCCCATCTGCCATCTGAATTGGTACTATTCTGGGTCAACTTACTCTGCTGCATGTGTAGATGAAAATGGCACCAAGTGTGGGGGAGGGGGCAGAACAGGTTTCAGATACAGGATATTAAGCATACACGTACTTCAGATTGAACTGGTTGCTTGCTTTGCAAGTTTTCATTTCCCAAATGACTGCCTTGGCAAGCGCAATACCTACCAGGCTCAACGCCGGTCTCGCGCTGCCGCTTCCCGCGCTCTCAAGGACCCGGGAGGAGGAAGGCGTGAAGGGAATCCCGAAGGCGCGAAAACCTCGCGCATGCGCAGGCCTTCCGCCTGCGACAGCCCAGTAGGCCGGCCGAAGCGAGCGGCGATGGGATGTGGGAGGGAGCTCGCTCGCCGCCCCGCGTGTGCCTATGTGGGGCACGTTACAGCCCCGTGACGTCAGCGCCACGCAGGCAGCCAGGCAGGCAGACGGCGAGAGCCCCGCGCTGGGCGGCCTCTCCTCGCCGCCGCCGCCCCGCCTCTCGCCGCCCGACTCGCCCGCCTCCCTCCAGGCAACATCTCGCGGCACACCAGGCAACGTCTCACTAGTGTGCCGCGGAACACCGGTTGGGAAACACTGGTCTAAAGCTCTCTCTACAGTCCAGCATGTCAAGTCCAGTAAAACAATTCAAAACCGTTTAAAGCCGAGACTGCAACAATTTAAGCAACATAGTTTTGGGCACATCTCCTTTCACAGAAAGCAAGAGTGAAACTAAAGGGGTTTCAAGGCCTGTTTGAAGACTGATAAGGATGGGAGCCACACAAATGTCCCCTGGGAGGGAGTTTTGCACTCCAAGAAGGCTCTGGGCCACTTCAGGCTGGTGGGGGGTTTTTTGGTGGTTATATACTGAAACATGTCACTGATGCAACAATAGAGCATTTGTGGTGGATTTATAGTGGACCATCCACACGAATCATTCTGCTTTATTGGTGGCTTTGCAATGATTCCCCAATGGTACCACCTTATTGCCATCTAGAGGGCGACTCCTGCACTAAAGCTGAAGGAAAAGCCCCACAGAATATCTGCAAGTATAAAAAGTTACAGGATTTCAGCAAGAAGCTATGGGGCATGTATCCATTGGACACAAAGCACTATGTCTGTCCTGGAACTTTTGCAAGTGGAAATAGTAGTGACAATGGGATTGTGTATGACCACACATCACAAATGTGTATAACCTCACGAGCATAAATCATCAGAAATGTACCATAAAAAAGACGTCTGTGATAGAATGCAACTCAGCTTGCATTGGAGGTTGATGTCTCTGCACTGGGGAGTCTCCAAATTTCCTAGGCTGTAATCGCCTCTACTGAGAATTAAGTTTCACTAAATTAAACTGGAGCTTACTCTCAGGCAAGTGGTGTTGAGATTGCAGCTTTAGGCACCACCTCAGTGCCTATCCTGCCTCCCCTAGCCTTGCCACGGGGGGCTGGGAATCCCGCATTTTCCTCGTGGCATGTAGTTCCATTCAAACAGTGCATCTTACCTCTTTATAAAAACAATTTGAGCGGCTCGATTCCATCAGCCGGTGACGACGAGGTGCCTGGTTCTTACTGAGATGTTAAACCTGCTGCGCCTGCCCGCGTTGGGCTGTAACATTACCATGCAAAACCAGCATGCCAGGGTCAAAGACTAAAATACAACCCTAAAATCGACTGAAGGTATCATCATCATCATTTTGTACAGGGGATCACAGACAGTGCAATCTAATAACTGCACCGCCTGCACAGACGTAATCCCCAGAAGTTAGTTGAATTGGGGAAAGGCGGCGCAGGATTGCAGCCAGAAAACCCTGCGAGCCCGTAGCTCATTGGAAGGAATTTGGGACTAGCGGCTCCCTGGAGAACTACATTTCCCAGCATGCTCCACCGTCCGCTGGTGATGATGTGTCCGGAGAGGCGGTGCTTGCGAGAGCTCCTTGCTGTGTTGTCAGCTCTTGGGAAGAGAAGTGTGAGCTGCGGGGAGCGGGGCTTTCGAGGGAGAGGAAGACCCCCCACTTCGTGCACCCCCTCCGCCCCCCACCGCCGTTGCCTTTCCAGGCAGCCCAGATCTGGGGGCCACGAAGGAAGGAAGCCGTCCCTGCTGGTAAATGAAATGCATGGGGGGTGGGGTGGCGGTGGGGCAGAGAAAGGGATCCGTCTGCTCCAGCCAAAATCACAGCTGGGGGGCGGAGGGTGCTTGTAAATATGCCAAGGAAGGAGTGGGCGGCCAAGCGAAGGAAGTTTTAAAAAATCTGGGCCTGGAGGGGGGAAGCACCTCGGAGAGGAAGGGATGCAAATATATGGTAAATGGGAAGCGGTTCTGCACAGTTGCTTCGGGGAAACGGTGTGTGGGTTAAGAACAGCTGCTGTGGGTGTTGATAAGGGAGACGGTGTACGTGTGAACGCTTTGGAGCGCTGCTCTCGTTCAGAGAAGCTGGTGGGTTGCTTTTAAAATGTAGCCTGGGGAGGAGAACTACAGAGTCTCTGAAGTTGGGAGTGACGTGCTTGCTCCCGCTTTGGACATGCTGGGCCTAATTTAAGAGTGAGTGGAAAAGTCTAACCCAGCAGAAGCGGGTGCTGAATGTTGTGGGTTTGAGATACGCACACACCTTTCTGGGTATCTGAGCCCACGATTTAGTTTGGAGCCTGGGAATTGCTAGTGTCGGCCTTGTTTAAAACTCCTGCACCGAGCTTTGCTGCTGCGTTTTAGCGTGTGCACCTGTTTGACTTAAGCCAAGAAGCCTGAAGGTTGTCGGGAAAGCATGAGGGGTTAGGACAGGAAGGGGAGAGGGGATGGAAATCTCCCCAAGTGTCTGCAAAAAAACAAGCAAGCAAGAGCAAGTTTCACTGAGGTCGCATCCACACCAAACATTTAAAGCACTCTCAAACTGCTTTAACAGTTGCGCCTTCCCCACAAATAATCCTGGGAATTGTAGTTTTTAAAGGGTGCTGAAAGTTGCTAGGAGACCCCCTTACAGAACTACAGTTCCCAGCATTGTTAACAAAGTACAGCCCCAGGATTCTTAATGAGAAACTATGGTTGCTAACTTATGGCATGGATGTGACCTAGATGGCTATGTTGTATTCTAGAGTTTTGGGGAGTTTGTACAGAAAATGTGTACAGCTCTCTGTAATGTTGTTGGAGGTAGGGGAGCATATGTGTGACTTCCTTGGAACACCCAGCTTCTATATAGGACAGGAAGCAGGTTTGGGCACAACACCCCTGCCCTTTGACCTCTCTTTCACCATCTCTGATACGGCTGCTGAAGCAGCCAGCTCTATCAGCTCATCTGCCTCAAGGCAGAACTCCTTTTCACTCCGAGATTCATATGCTGATGTGATCAAAAACCCCTGTGGTGCTATGGATAAAATTAAATATTGCCTTTGCTCAATGTGCCTCCCTTTCCCATATGTTCTGCAGCAGAACATAGTGCAACATCTTTTGTGGTTTTTACTGGGTTCCTCCAAGAGCAAGTGTAGACCGTAGTGAGTTTGTGCCATGAAAGAGTGAGGTCCAAACCATACACTTTAAAAGGGCTCATATGTCACTTGAACAGTCATGGCTTCCCCCTGAAGAATTCTGGGGAATATAGCTTATTCCCCTGAGGAATTCTGGGAACTATAGCTTATTGAGAGCGCAGAGATGGGAGACCCACCACAGAGCTACAATTCCCAGCACTACAGTTTCCCAGGATTCTTTAGGGAAAGCCATGACTGTTGAAGTGGCGTAGGAGCGCTTTTAAGTACATGGTGTGCAGGGCGACTTCACTCTTTGATGGCACATCAATATATGTAGGGTTGTAGATGTGCACAGCAATGTAGGGCAGTAGAAACTAATAGGCCAGCGTTGTGGCACCTTAAGACGATTTGCATTGCAAAGAAGCTAACCAAAGCAAATTGGAATCTGTTTGCAACCCAGCAATGGGTTGGAGAATCTGGAGGCAAACATTGCAATTTATATGCAATATCTTTCGCCGAAAGCCCCAGAGCAGGAAAGGATCGGGAAAGTGGAACCATTAGTGGAACCTCCCTACAAATCTGACCTCTTATCCACATTCTCAGTTCCAAGAGAAGCAGGACAAATGTTGACTATATATGGCAGAAATGTTATTTTTGGGAACTATTCACAATCGCTCTCACCCAGTCCTCCTTGGAACGTTGCACATCGTTTTCAAACCATTGTGTTTATGTGGAGGGGGGGATTTGAACAAAAGACTGGATCCAAAAAAAGCAAGGGGGAAAAGCAGAGATGGTTATTTCAGCTGTCACTTAGTTTGGATATACTGTAGTCTTGCAGTGGAGTAAGGTGGCAGAGGATATACTGTGGCAGACTTCAGGAAAGCAGATCACTCCCCAGTGTAAAAAAACCAAAAGGGCTGTTGTCACTTTACGCATGCAGAATGTCCCCGGGTTCAAGCCCTGGGTATCTCCAGATGGTGCTGGGAATGTCCCCATATCTAAAACCTTGGAGAGCAGCTGCCAGTCAGTGTGGACAGGTGGTCTGACTCGTATAAGGTTCTTAAAAATGAAAGGCTTCCATGCAAACAGCTTATTAGCACACTGGAGACTGGGCTGGACTAGAAACTACTGTAGTTGTTTACTTGCAAGGCTCTATGAAAAATGGCACCACCCGCCCACGTGTAGCTCCAAAAGGAAAAAGGCTGCTGTAATAACTGTGTAATGACAGACAAACTGCCCTGTGAGGAATATGTACTAGAAGGCAACTTTATATATCTGGTAAATAAATACTGACTTGGAATTCTACCCTGCCTCATACTTTCGCTTGGGCAGACCAGGTTATAGATTTGGGTCTAAGAAGTGGGAATTTACTAAGCTGGGAAAGATAGGTTTGGTTTATTTTTTGTGGGTTGGGGGTACCTTTATCCAACATGTGGTAGATGATGTGTCTATTGTTTGCTTTGGATCCTTTCAAACAACCTAATTCCTCTTGATTGACTGCAAAAGACAATGCCTATTGAGAATAAACTTGCTTGTCCGAAACTAGTTCCGCTTCATCCCCAGTGTTTGGCCATTCCTTTTACCCCCAATAAACCTTCATAATGTTTTTTTATTTTATAGCTGTTGAAATCCATTTACAATCGCATACCTGTTGGGGGGGGAAGGTTTGGAAATTGAGAATACGATGGGCTACAAGGAGGCTGCTATTTCTGGAGTTTGAAACACGACCCTAACTTCCTTTATGGAAGAAATCCTATCTGTGAATGCACTGTGTGCTGCCTTCGCTTCCTCCATGCCGACAGTATAGCTTTAGTGGGTTGTGTATAGTCTTAGTCCTACACAAGAGTAGACCTACTGGAACGAGTGGGCATGGCCAACGCTGGTCCATTATTTTCAACAAGTCTTGAGCAGAACTCTGTTGGGTGTAACCCAACATGATTCTGTTTTTCCAGATGTTTTGGGTTCTCTCCAGTTGAGTGGGATGGCTAGAGTCATGCTGCAAAAAGGTCACTTAGAAAGAGCCAAGTCAATAGTCCAAAGAGCACCAGCTTGAGGCACAAGTGATGCTGCAGTTAAAGAATCACCAGCCACCAGAATAAGAAGAGCCCTTAATTATCCTGTCCTATGGTGCATTTTGCAAGGATGAGACGAGCAAATAAGTGTGACTACTGCACCATGCATGGGCAGAGGCGGTGGCAGGACAAAGGGATGGAGGAGATCTAGGGACACATGACACAGCCGCAAATTGACTCAGACCATTGGTCCACCCAGCATTGCGGTGTGACACTGCAGGATCTCACACTGCCCTGCCACCAGAAAGGTTTTAAATTGATGGTTGAGCATGGCACTCTCTGCATGAAAAGCCTGTGTTCTGCCATCGAGCTAAGTTAAAGAATCCTCAGTCCAGGCTCCTCCAGCACAGCCAAACTCTGGTTCAAGAGAGCTTTAAACTGCATTTAACTCTGGATGGGGGGGGGGGGTTACCCAGCTCTTTGAACGGTTTGGTTGCCTTTTTTAGCACCTTTTTCCAACACTACGGTATCCTTTTTGAGGCGACACCAGAACTGTGCAAGGTATGTGCAAGAGAAGGCATTATTGACATTGGAAGATTCGTTTTCGATCCCTTAGAATGAAACTGGCCTGGTTCCTCACAATGATCAGTCATAGTTTATTAAACTGAGGTTTATTAACTCGTAGCTTGTTTGACCCTGCTCAGCAGCTTAACAGTGGTTTGTTTGCCACCAACAAACCATAATCCGAATGCATAGTTTCTTGTTTCGATTACAAGCGTTTTATTTGTTTTAACTAGGGTTTGGTGTTACGTGCAAACCTGGCACCCTTCCTTAACCCATGGTTTGTTTAGCCAGGCCACCCCAATCCACCCTGGATGCTCACAAAGCTGCAAAGACATGAAAACAAAGTAAAGTTTGGAGGAATGAGCTGTGGTTAATAATTGTCTGTGGGACAACTTGCAGTTAATCATGGTTTACTGTCATCATATTGTTGCAATAATATGGTCAGATGTTTATTTCCTTAAAAAAGAAACCACCTTAAAAAAGTTACACAACCCATGTTGTTTGATTAAATTGGTATCCTTGCTCAGATTAGCTTGCTCAAGCCTAGTTAAATTTGCATAGAACAGTTACATTATGTCAATACAAAATGATCCTCAACTGAGACTGATGAATTAAACTCCCTCAAATAAAAACCAGGACTTAAGAAATCAAAGGCAGTTGCTTAAACAAACAGCTTAGCAAATAAAGACATCGAAATGTTAGATCTGGAGGTTTCAGTTTCTGGTTGAAATAAGCTGCCCAATATAGTCTAGTCTCGATACTCTTGTATTTTGTTCTGGTTGGCCGAAACACAAGTTGCACAAGTTTAGCTCGGTGAGCGCAGAGGCTGAGCAAAACCAAAATACCTTCAATAGGAGTATATACAAAGACCACTTAAAACAGATTTGTGATCCATGGTGCTGTTTAGGGAGCCTGGGGCATACATGTGTCTTTCCAACGCCACTCTGGAAACTACAACAAAATGTTGCAGTGTGGAGTGTTCCCTGTTGAGAATTCCAGCCATTCTATTCCCCCTCATTCCCCAAATCGTTGGTATTCCACGCTCACTAAGCATGCCTAGTTCTTATTG